TCTTATAACACCAAGTATATGGTCATCAAGTTATATTTATATAGTTATATATGTATTAAATGTTTTTAAATGTTGCATTCTGTGTTGCTATTGCCTTTATTGCTTCTAGCTTCATGTAAGTGTAATCTTTACTAGTACAATAATCTATTAACAAATTTTCTTTCAGAATTACACTGTGGAGATTTTCTACATTCCCCTTGTGGTGGTTCCCTACTCAGAAAACCTCTTCTTCATGCCGCCCTTTGCGGATCTCTATCCATTACTCAACACAGATGTTGCAAGACTGGCTAAACTGCAGCAAGCTCAAGCCAAGGGAGAAAGGGTGAAGCTGGTCGAGAGTTTAGGTATGCTGTTCCCTTTTAGTCTCTCCCTCCCTTACCTGGAAATATGCCTCACAGAATAGGCATGCGGTCGTTTATAAACAGCACAGTCATTGTTAGTTACCTATGTGTATGGATTTATCATTTCCTTGAACTCTTCTCATGATGCCATTCAAAAACAGTGGAAACATTTTGACATGTATACCTAAAGGGTTAAAGTGGGGGGTATAAAAAAGTTTTATAGCAAGGATAGATGAAACAAGACCAGCCTTTACTGCCTCAGTTTATCTTGGTTGCATGTAGGTGCAGTTAAAAACTACAAAAGTGAAAAATTGCAGATTGACATTTTAACTGACCACAGAGTTATTGACTTCCTCTGTGTTGTGATGCAGACCATTCACCCTCCCCCTCTCTCTCTGTTCAGTAATATACAGTAGAAGTTTATATAAGACTGAGCTATGTATTTTAACGGTACTGAATTTAAGAATATAACCCAATAGATCAGGCTGATATGATACCACATCATGAAAAATTTTGCTGAAGGCTTGATGATGAGGATATGCTGTCATGGAAAAATTTGGCTAAGGTCTGAGTGACGGGAATATGCCATCATGGGAAATGACTCGTGTTCAAAAGGCTTTTGGAGTAAGATTAGACTCAGTAGGCATTTTTTACCAGTAAATGAGCATGGAATGTACCATCCATGAGCCATGACTGGAAGAATGCCACCTGGAGGGAGGACACTATTTCTGTGCTGTGATCAGGACTGCAGAGTTTATTACAGAAGATTGAATAAGTGGAAGATATAAAAAATGACCTACATAACAAAATGTTACTTATTGTTATTGCACAGAGTTTATGACTAACTAGAGAGATTATATAAAGTTTGTTCAAGAAAATAGTGGATTACCATCTTGATACAGCACATCAAATCAAAGTTTAACTCATACAGATATTAGTTGTACAAAAGGATATCTTTTAGTCATATTACATAATATATGCAAGGCATATTATGTAATATGTTGTTGTATTAGGCAAAGGTGTAGTCTTTGTGATATAGGCTTTTTAACCTTGGGGTACATCATTTGTAGTAAAATAGAGCCATTTATAGTGAATAACTAAAGTACTATATGATAGTTATGCGTTCATTCAAATCAGATGTTGCATTTACTTTTCTTTTTTATCACTGAATATTGCTATTTTATTTGATCTTTGACCTGTATTTCCTATGGGAGGATGGAACCAAGCTGTGCTGGGCCTTATCTTTCAATTGGATGAATGTGTGAGCGGAATGCTAAAGCTGAATCTCGGTGCTGACTGCATCTTATCACCATATACTCAGATTGTGTATTTTACTGTCTCCAGTATGATTTCTTCTCTGTTTCTTGAGCATCATATAGGGCAATATTTGATGCTGAAGTGGTATTTGTGAGATAGAAGACATATCCTTGTGCACTGTTGACAGTTGCAGAAGACCATGGCAGTGAGTTCAGACTACACCCCAGAATCAAGCTTAAGATAATCATCATTTACATAGTTGTATTTATTGATTCACCTCTAGAATACCGTGGAGGTTTGTGGCAGTTTTGATTAGGCTCTTCTTTTTGATACTTGTGACAGGGGAGAAGACACAAGTGATAGGGAGCCATGACCAAAATGAGCACATTAGTTTATCTTGTGATCTCCATTGCCTCTGTTGTGGTAACCCATTCAGGATACACCTAACTGCTCTGATGGCATTAGCACAAAGCGTTGGTGGTTTGAGTGTCCTTTCATTAAGTAGTTTATTGATTATGTATGATTTTTGTGTAATATTATTTTTGAAGTAATGTTTCCATTTTGTCGTAATTCCTTAACTGATAACTTTGAGGGAGTAAACTGAGGGTTTTTCATTCACAAAATGTATTATCTCCCAGGATGTGTCTGCTGCCCAAAAGATGTGGGTCATTTGTTATGTATAGATATATTATTTGCAGAAGGGAACATCAAGGCCATGAGCATCATTTTCTACATGCAGGAAATTTTTGTGGATATTTTTCACTAATTTGATCTAATTCCTCTTTCAGCTGATGTGGAGTTTCATCATTTGCCATTTGAAATGCGTATCATGATCCGGCAATTTGTGGTGTGCATCCATAGCCTCATGCAGGGGATGAACGCCAGGGATGAAATCTTCTCTG